CGTTATTTTGTCTGCAATGACCTAGTGGCATTTATACATGTAGAAATATTAGAGGTCACTCGTGTAATTCTATAATTACAATATCATATTTCAGTTGAAAACATGTACGTTTATGTAACGTTTTGTTTTCCTATTTCTAGTTATTCAGTTGGAAGGTAGATTACATTATTGCGTGTTCTTTTAGACACTGAGTGAAAACTCTAAAATAATTTCTATCCGTGTTGCACCTTAAAATCTTTTCGATCTTCTTGTCTAAATCTTGCATATCATTTATACTGACATACCTTTTTAATAAATGTTTGTTCTGAAAATTGATTTTTAGGCACCTGAGCCGCTCAAGTGACCTTTAGCGGTAAGTTTTCATCCACGTCATTCATAAACTTTTAACCATTTTCGACTTCTTCTAAATTATTTTGATATATTAACATCTGTGCGCAATGGGGTGGGGCAAAAATACTGAAGTTCATAACGGGGTTGGAGCCAGAAACATAAAATTAAAGCAATCTTTAAAAATTCTTCTTTCCCCCAAGACATCTAGAAGTAAAACTGTTGGTATGGTTATTATGAGCAATGAGCCTTCTGAAAAATGTGAAAATCATTGCCCCCAGATTCAGTGCTCAGACTTCAAGGTTGAACTTTGTTGGTTATAATATATTGGGGAAAAAAACATTATATATCTTTGAAAAACTTCTTTACTCATGGACGTTCAGCATGAAAACTGTTTGTATGATTGTGATGAACCCTTATCCCTCGACCAAAGTTGTGAAATCCACGACCCCCCAGACCTGTAGTTCAGGCCCAGTGAGGATGGAGCTTATTTTGTCATAAATTGAAAATAATATTATTACTCTTCTGGAAATCTTTTCTTTATGACATCTATTTGGCAAACTAATTATTTGATTACAACTCTTGAGCAAAAATGTAAAATTCATGTCCCCAGGATCCCCCGTTTAACCCCTACGTAGTTATACAGGGAAATTCATTATACATTTGACATTCTATAATAATAGACATCTAGCAGACAAACTGTTTAAATGATTAAAATGACCACTTAGCTATCTACCAAAAGTGTGAATTTAATTGTTATGACCTGTGGTACAGGTCCCAGGGTAGGTTTAAGTTAGTCATATATTGAAATGTACAACTACTAGTATTTAAAACTTCTTCTTTACTTATGGGCCGGTCGCAGTAGCCTAGTGGTAGAGCGTTCGCTTCGTGATCGGGAGGTCTAGATCTCGAGTTCGATTCTCGTTCCAGGCGCCGTGATAATATAGGTAATGACTGAGCCAAGCACCTGGCACTAGAAGTGAAAGTCACGGGTCTTTGGATGAGACCTTAAAAATCAAGATCCCGTGTATGGGCGGCGGAGAGGGTAAAAAAAAAAAAGACGTGTATTCAATTAATTTGAAAAAAAAAACTAAAATACAAAACAAGCAGCTTAAACTAAAATGAACAGACTAAGTTGTAAAATCAACAGACTCCATTGCAAGACGAACGATCACCGATGCAAAACCAACAGTCATTAACTAAATTGACGCTAGATGGCGCAAAAAAAAGACCACTGGCCCACACTGAAAAGGTGAAGGTCAACAGGCTGAAATGTAGTGTATGTAGGGAATTCACATGCCTCACTTTATTTGACAGTAATAAAATCAACGGACATGTTGATAATACCGCTTGGGTATAGAATAAAAGTTAAATGTCTAAAGTTTTCATGATATGCATTAAGGTGGATTTCAAGCACACATTATGCATAGAAACGAGTATTGAAATGAGGTATTTCTTTTATTTACAATTTCAAGCCGGCTAAGTGGTATTCTGACATGACGTCAGAAGCTTATTAATAACCGAAGAATATGAATATTTAGCTGACATAGTCTATCTTGCGCCTATTTTAAAAAGTTACAAGCCAAGTAAAACATTTGCTTTTCAAAATTTAAATCTATATTTTAGGTAATAGTGGTCCAGGTCCTTCAGATGGCGCACGAGTCTGTAAATTATGGAAACTTAAGCCATATACATGTTTAATTTGATTTCTTTGTAGACTCAAGTCACAAAGGATCAGAGCCCGAAAAATATAAATATAAGTATGAAAATATCCATTGAAAGGTCGATTGCCTTCTCCTTTTGTAGGATAGTCATTTCCTACCATGTACTTTAATGGAAACTTGGAAACTAGCTCCTATCCCCCGAAACATCTTTTTTTGCAAACAGCCTTGGAGAAAGCTAGAATTGACTGATTGATTGATTGGGACGTTCCTGTTAGGGTAAACCTCAGGTGTTTGTGGACAGAAGCTCCATCCCACCCTCTTTCATATTCGTTTTGCTTCAATGTCTTTTATACCCTTCCCTCCGCCTATACCCGTGCAACAGTACTAGTGGGCGTTGGCACGATTAAATCCTCTATTGCTTCGGCCGTAAGCGTCATGCATACATATAGGTCAAATTTTGTGGTACTCTATATGAGAGAAAAAAAATCTCGAATGGACCGTTAAAAAAATATACAATCAAAATCATCTTTACTCATCGACATATTTTGTTTGTTTATTCAGGAAATGGCACATAGAACACAAGTTGACACATGAAATCTGAACAAATTATATTTAATACAAGTAAAATTACATAGGTTCATTAAAACAATATTATTGTATTATTAAAAAAAAATAGATAATTATGAAAAAAAATTTATATGTCTATATAAATATAGACACTGTGTATAGCCATTTACCCGAGGATGGCCCATAAATTTCTAGAAGATAAGCTTCATGAATATGATATTGATTATTATAGTTCTAATCAAACTATTTTTTGGTCATATAAGTCCAAAAACAGTTCCAGGTTGGCTTAAAGTGGCCATAGCCTGAAAATCCATGATACTCAAGTGATGTGAAAGCCCATCGGCCTCTTGTTTCTTTCTGGCGTGTTGCAATTAAGGAATATGTTAACAAACAACTTTCATTTGTTTTTTCACCTGTTACATAATAAATGTTTAGTTCATGACAATATAAATATGTGAAACCATGAAGGTATTTCGTTTATAATGCTTAGAAAGGCTGTCGAAGAAAACAGTGATGTTTTCCAGACTGCTGTTGAATGAGCAATTTGTTTATCGGCAAAATTCTTTAAGTCTAACTAAAAAAAAATGTGCAATTTTCATGTTAAAAAAAATCAAAATAGATATGCAATTAAAGCGGAAATTATGAATTATCTATTGAAATTGAAACAAATTAAAATAAACAGATGAACACGGTGGGAAATAGCGGGACATTATTTAGTCACCTACTCAAACAAGCACCATCCCTTGTGCTGTTGAACAATTCTTAAGACACCCTGCTCTGTTTTGTCGATAATTCCGATCTCTGAATTGTTTCTGTGGCAAAGTGAGTCAAACAATTATTGATAATAATCATCAAAACGATGGAAGCGAAAGGGAGGAATCGTGGATGGGCAGAGCACACTGATAATAACAGACGTTCTTATCATTACAAAGTAGATTATTATTTTTTTTCTCATATCTTAAGAGAAAACGAAATCTTTTTTTTCAAAAAGCTTGAGATTTCACAAAAATCCCTTTTTTCCCTTCAAACACCAAATTATATCCGTTTGGCTGAATTCTTTAACCTCACCCTAGTGTGTGGTCCAACACATGCTTTCACGGGTGGAAAATGTCGTTAGCATATTCTTGCGTGTTAAAATAACTTACATTTATTTGAACAGCATAGTAAAGAGAAACAAATTTGGATAACGTTTTCATCGAGATTTATTTCGAGATTCTGTTTGCTCAAGTGAAATGCATTAGTTTCTAAATGAACATAAATTGCTTTATCGTGCCCACTGATAATATGAGGTGGTTGTCAGTTTCAATCATTGGATCTTAAAAAGTAATACATGAAATCCGTAGAAAAATGATATGTGTAAAAATTATATAAAGGTTATCACATGTTGGTTGAATGCTTTTGTCAAACACAGCTTGATTTTGACTTGGATGTTGCAGTGCTAGGTTTTGCTATTTCATTTATTGAGTTTGGTTAATCGGATGTAATTTATTTTACCAGGGTGTTGTGTAGTGGAACATTTGATACCGTCTCTAAGGAAAGAGAGAATGTATCAAAGTTCCGCATAAACTTCTTTAGCAAAACAAATATTACCTAAGTATAACGATTTGTAAAAAAAAAAAAAAAAAAAATAAGTAAAAAAAAAAAATTCAATAAGATTTACTATAACGTTATTTTCTAAAATATTATGTTAATTTGAACAAAAAAGATGCCCAAAAGATAAGATAAAGCTACTTATCAGATTTACACGTCCAATGCACATTATAAATTGTTTTACCTGTTATCAAGGTAAGCTGCAGCAGAATTGTAAAATAGTGAAAGTCTGGGACAAAGAATATGCCATTTCCGGGGATTGGTCTCGAAGTTGCCTAGGTACTATTTTACGTCCTTTGTTTGCCAGTTAGTGTGTCCTTCCTAGCAATAGACTTGGATATATGAAGATATATGTATCCTAGACCGAAATGGCTAGAATGAACCTTTTTTTTTTTTGACGCGTTATCGTTTGTCTTATTTTTGTCATTTTATTTTACAGAACTATTTAAAGGAACCTGTCCAATGCAAACCGGTATTTTAATGAAATTATATTCTTATTATTCATTTATTTAAATTACATAATGCGGTACTGGAGAATCCTTTTCCTCTTTCAACAAATGATGTGACTTATAGATGGAACTAATCTATTTGAAAATAACCTTTACAAAATTTACACATTTAAAAAAAAAACAGATTGAAGAACGAAATTTTAGAAAGTAATATAATTATTAACCAATCGACCTTCCTCAAAACATTACCCAATCACTTAAGTGAGATTAACAAGTTTTAGTGAGCGCGCACGAAGCCTGTACAGCGTTTCTTCAGCGTAATAGCGAAAGTCCGACATATATATAAAGGTGGAGATATAATATTAAGTATGTTAATATTGAATGCGGTGCACCATGTATATGATCATATTCTTCCACGCTAGTATAGGAGGACTGTTGTTATGGATTCAAGTAATATTATCTTAGGACATTCCGACTATTTTTTCCGTGACATTACATATAATCTTTTAATTTGGTAATCATGGAAACCAATGGGTGCATCCAAAGTCTTGAGTTATATAGTATTGAGGATTAAATTGGTTGTGTCACTCGTCGAATTAATAACGCTCTCTTAGTCCGTGGTCGGTCTGTCACTGTTTGAATGCAACAAAAGGTGTCAGAATTTGAACCAAAGTGATAGGCAGATATGCACTTATTAGTAATATATTATGCAAACGATTTTTTTCTCCCTTTAAGTATTTGTACGAAAATATTAAATCTGACATTTTGTGGTTTATTTTTCTTGCAGATCACTTGAAAGCCCAAAAACGATATAAGTATAAACGGAAGACATTAACATTATTGGATTTGGTCTTATACTTGAGCACGTAAAGTGGAATTAACGACGTCTAAGAGTCAGAAAGTTAAAATTTCTAAGGTGAAAAGAAACACGAATTCTGGATATTTTAGCATTTGACATTGGCCTTTCGAAAGAGATTTGAGGATCACCTGTCATTGACAGTTGTGAAGTGTTTTATCGAGATACCAAGTTATTTCTCAGTGATTTTGGAGTACCTATATCATCGTCATGTAAAGCGATAACGTGTAACTCACCTTCAATTTAAATAACCTGGACTTATACTGGGATAATTTAGAAGTTAGTGACATATTTTACACACTTAATGTAATGATGGATTGTTCTCACGAGGAGCATAAAATGAGACTAAGCCCTCTACCCAACAAGTGGTCGGAAGCATCCAGACATCTATATAGGTAGGTCTGATATTAATTTAAAGCAATAAAACGAAGAGTTTTTTAAAAAAAAAAAAAAGAGTAGTTTCCTGAATATCAAAACAACCGAAATCCGATTCTTGATTATATTTAAAAGGTATATAAATTATGTCATTTGTTACCAACATTTTTAAAGCATTCTTGTGTTTATCATAAAATTAATGCGGCATGCATGGTCACAGTCATGAATAAGGTTGAAATATAAAAATAAGCAGATTCCACTCTCTTGCTAAGATTTGGTTTCATGACTCCAGTACTTTGATACAATATGTTGACGATGTACAAAATCGTATGCTAAGTGTAACCTTGAAAGAAAAAAAAAGTTTAAAGAACTTCTGTTGTAAAACTGTAAGTAAAGTTGCCTTCAGTAACCAGTGACCGGATTGTGGTTAACTGCCATATCGATCTTCCGACGTGGTGCTGTAACTTCCTTTTCCTTCAACTTATTTTTTCCTGCCTTATGATTCTACATACCAAGAAAATAGGGGAAAATACTTGTGCTTTTCGAGGTAGATTCGAGCACTATTGTTCAGAATACAGGTTGTTGTTTTTTTTTTTTTTTTTTTTTTTTTTTTTTTTTTTTTTTACGTATTTCGAGGTAGCTTATATCAATATTGTTGATATGAAGGTTCGGAGGAAATTGTTTTTTCCAAACTTGTGTCTTGTATTAGAGTCTTAAATAATCTGTTATCTTTCGAAAATTTGTCTCATTACTTTAAGTATCATACAGAGGTTTAAGTATTGAAAGATTCAAAAAGAGTAGCTGGATATTATAAGATAGGAAGGAGACTGAGGCATTTCTTTTTCAATTACATGTTGATACCAATGTACTCTTCACGATATTTGAATCAAGGGGTAGTACATATCTATAATTAAAGGTCACTAAGACGTTTTTAAGACAGCCCCCCCCCCATTTTTATAACATTCCTTGTTTTCTATGCTTAACACAGTTTACTATCGCCTTAGAAATCGTCAAAGTTCGTAAAATATTTTGACACTCCACTGCGGATATTAAATACAGGTAAAAAGGATTCTTTATTTTTACTTCTTTTTTGCAAGTATATGTTGGCTTCTCAATCCTTAGGGATTTAATCCATTTTGGTGGTTTAAATAGATATTAATCTTTGAACTAACGTTTCTGGTAAATCTCTTTAGAAAAATCGACCGATAAAAATTCATACTGTGACAACATAAAAAAAGTTGTTTTTCTGCTTTGGTCTATTTGTAGATAAACTTTAAGCTATTTAAAGAAGGAATTCAAAATTCTAATGCAATGCATGTTTTTTAAGCATTAAATTGCTGAACAAGCTAGAATATATACATGTATTTTGTCCTCATGCATTCCAGATAAATTAGACGTTTTTTTTCAATCAACTTATCTGCATCCATAATGATAGCGGTGAAGACATACATTTGTCGTATAAACAAACCTGACGTTTCGGAGACTATTTTAGTCTATCCATATCTTGGCATTATAAGTCATATCAGTAATATTAGTATAATGAGGTAAAAACCTGAGTGTAATTAAATGAATTACATAACACGAGCACTTTTTATAAATGACCTTCGTCACCACTCTGAATGTACACTCGAAATGACACAATGCAGGGGAATGAACAATGTTCTGTTACCCCCTGCTGTTTTCAAGTGTCGTGTTTAGCAATAATTTTTACCCTTTATAAACGCAGTTTGATACACCTAAGAACAGATCTACCTTTATATACCTTTATAAATATGTCTTTCAAGGCTCTTTCGCTTGATTTGTCCTCACCTAGTTTTATTTCTATGAGAGGAAATCATGGTACATATTCTGGCACACGATTAACTTCCTCAATTTTTCTTTGTTCAAAATTGTAACAGATTTAAAGCATTCTTAAGTTTGCTGTTAAAATCCAGCCTTTTTTTATTTTTGCATTTATTATTTTAAAATAGTAAAACTTTCTCATCAGGATGTTATGTATTCTGAAAATTTGCTTATTACGATAAAATCGTTTGGTCCCTTTCTGTAAATACAGTTGTTAAAAAATGTCTCATCAGGAATGTCTAACTTGGCATATTTATACGAAACCAGTGGTGTACGGTTTTACACTGAGAGACAATTTTTGCTGTATTTATATATTGCTGCTCAGCGGCATTGAACGCACAAAGTTCCTAGAAGTATTTTTAATAAATGATAAATTCTAATGAACAAATTATGATTTTTAAGACTTTCTGGTATGTAAAAAAATGAATTATTGGAAATTCTTTTAGTAATAGATGTATGTGTAGCATCTATTGGATTAATTAGGTTTGATTGATGAAATCGTTTGTAATGGGAACATGTGTATTAGGTATATACATTACGAACTACATACATAATATGCAAACAATGATATTTGAGAAAAGCACAAAAGAAATAAAGGAAGGTCCACTAAAACAGGTGAATTCTGCCTTCAGGTTTGCATTCCACCCTGCATCGAAAATGCAATCACACCATTTTATCTCTAGATTGCATAGAGGATAGAATTTAATATCGTCTATGACACTTTCAACAGCTGCAGATATGCAAACTGTGTAATTAAATATATTTCTTGAAGCTACAAACAACTCAAGGTTGTAGACTTTTTTAAAAACGAAGTGTTTACTTTTTGTCCGCTTTTTTACAATAGATTTTTTTTATGCATCATCAGCATGAAAATGCACGTAAATTATAATGCCTCCACAGAGAGATTTTATTTTTATCAGTTTTGTAAAATTGTCACAGTTATGTCTCAACCCTGTGTTCTTTAGTCATATTGTATATCTATCATATATCTGCATTATATCAATTTGTAACTTGAATAAGTAGTTTATGTCCTTGTTTTTACATTCTTTTTTATCATATATTGTCATTTCTTAAATCTTTGGTAACATACAGTGTAATCTTAAAAAATCTTAATAGGAATAAAGCATCAATTTTATTCTGTTTAAAAAAAAATGACAATTAATTTTAAATTAATGTACGATCAACGTGAGCAGTTTAAATATCATGGATAATTCAAGGAAATGACATATTTCTGATTCAGTGGTACCTCTGTCACATCAGTAATGTTTCATTGTCAATCACGTTAAATGACATGGGAAAATCTACGCTACGTGCACCATATCCATGAATGTAATTTGAAACATTAAGCCCATATTTTAAGCGATCACCAATCATGTGCAACTAGTTCCCTTTTTCTTTGCTTAATTTTGAGATAAAACTCAGTCATTAGATACGTAGACAGAGGGATGTTTTTATTTACCAATATATGTCTTCATTTTTTTTTTTTTTAACTTTTTCATGATTTGCAATTAGACGTTCAAGATTTAACAACAGTTTTTTTTATATAATATACTAGATTCTTGCATTTAGGAATTATTTACTCTTTTTTCACATATAAAATATTGCAATGCGTAATTCATGTCAGTTATAAGTAGAAATTATTTTACATAAGAAATATTATTATCTAGAGGTGAGGGTTAGGAAACTTTAGATTGTTTTCATTTCAAAGTATAATCGTCTTTAAAATGCTAAAAGCATCAAAAGTAGTTCTTTGTTTCTAGTAAAGAAGCGAGAAAAACGCAATATCTCTGCTCGTATTTGATCTGTCTTCGAAATATGTTTACTTGTACGCAGACCCATATAATCTTTGCAAACCTCTTTACACCTGTACTAGGTACAGAACATGCTAACTATGGTACAACACAACACAGATTATGTTAAGGTTGAACACAACAAATACAGGTGTCAGGTAATGAATACCAAAATATAAGACTTAGCAGCAGGTTTTTCGTGTCTCACAGCTACAGAGAAGAAGAAAGTTATTACATTTCAATAACCTACAAAAAAAGTATTGAGATCAGAAGCACATTGGTATAATATTTGTCTATAAGCACAAAAAACGGAGATAGTGGAGTAATAAAAGCCAATCCACAATTATTCCAAATATTTGCAATGACATTGACAGAACAAACTCACGTTACATTGCTAAAGAAAAATAATCATGTCGCTCTGAAGACCCGTTGTGTAAATATCTGCTATTTTTTGAAGCATTCTGAATTCCAGACGTTTAATTTACAATGATGGCAATTGCCATTCCAAAATCAGAAAATTTTCTTTCAAAGGTTTCACAATGTGTAAAAGCTTGGTCATGTGAATATTTTTTTAGCGTCTTTTGAAAAATCTCAGACTAATCTCACCTTATAACTAAAAATAAAGGGGGAAAAGAAAATGACAAAATTCTGCAAGTGTGCCACCTAAACTTGTATGTTACTCGACAAAAAAAAAATTATCTTGTCTTATGCCATGAAACATTATTTTTAAAAAAAAAATGCACAATTAGATATAACTGTTATTTAGGTGATATAGTACATGTACATATATTTATATAACGCTTTCCGTCTTTTGGAGTCCCTACCATCAGTATTCAATGTTTATTTTTTGAGCTCCCCTATCCTTGCTGACTTTAAAACGAGATACACTATAACCACATAAGGTTATCTGGTGAGATCATATATCAGACATGTTAAAATTACGTTTATATCACGGATAATTGTCTACAACTAATTTATCAGAGATAAATTGTACGCATGCATTTTTTCTACATTATTAACTTTGAGTATGATAAGAATTGATATTAACAGAAAAGGTTGTTTTTTTTTTAAAGCCGTTTGTATTTTTTTTAAGGAGAGTAAGTAAGATGCTGCTGGTCGTAAGGAACTGTTAAAGAATTAACGCTAGTGGATCAGTGTTTGCAATTGATATTTTACTCTGAAAAATCACTATAACTTGGTAAATACCAAAAAATCTGTCTACAAATGTAATGGTTCTGGCTTTTGTCATTGAATTTCAATATTGATATAGTGTATGCTCAATGGAATTATGTGTGTCTGCATATTATGGCATTTAGTCAATAAAAATTCTGTTCCATGATTCATTTGTATTTTTCTACTTGTTGCCATAAAGAGCGGAAAAATCTTAT